CTAAAGTTAAAATCCGGTTAGATTACTAGAGATTTAAATATAGAACAATAAAACTTAAAAATGTGTGTGTGTGTGTGAGAGAGAGAGAGAGAGGGAGAGAGAGAGAGAGAGACTCTTGTGTAGAAAATTACAAAATGTAAGTGAAGGACGTAAAAGACTTAAATAAATGGCAACCAACACTGTTTTTGTATAAGAGAAAACTCAATAACATAAGGACAGCCAATTTCTCCAAGCAGTATTTTCCCAAATAAAGCTTGAACTTTGCCTGCATCAAAATTACCTAGACTGCATGTTAAAATGTAGTTTCTTAGGATCTACTTTAAACCTACTGAATCAGTATGCCTGAGGATGAGGCCCAAGAATCTGCATTTTAGAAAACTTGCCAGATGATTCTTGGGTGTACTAAATTTTGAGAACCCTTGCCTTAGGGAAGTAGGTCATAACCTGAATTGCACATGAGAATCGCCTGGGACCATTTTTGAAATATTCAGATGCTCAGGCCATATCCCAGACCAATTAAAACAGAATTTCTGGGCAACGCACGTATGCATCAGCGTTTTTAAAGCTCTCCAGTGATTCCAGTGTGCAGTCAAGATGGAGGATCATTGCCCTGGGTGAAGGTTTGCAGCCCGTCCTCATTCGAACATTTACTTTTAGGACTAATGTAGTAGAGACTGGACTTTATCTTGATTAAGGCAGGCATAACTTCCTTATATAATGTTATAACTTATTCATCTGGTATCCCCAGCATCCTATCTGATACACAGCAGGGGCTTGGTGGTCATTTTCTGAAATAAATCCAGCAAATTAAACTGAATGAAATGAATCAATGTGTAGGTGAATAAAATTTTCACCAAACTCTAAAAATTCTACTGGATTCTGCAAGCTTGTATGGCACCTGGGCACAATATTACACTGTGAGAGGTACAGAGATGAACAAAATAAATCCCTTCTCTTCCAGTGTTTGTGATCCGGTGGAGGAGGCAGATATAGACAAAAGTATCTTATAGTCAAGCAGACAATGGGAGTGCACAGAATATAAAAAGGGAATACAAGAAAAATTAGTTCTGAATGGCAGAACCTGGAAGGTATCCTTAAAGATTCAGTATCTGAGATTGGCCTTGAAGTATTGCTGAGACTTGCCCAGGAAGAAATTAGGGAAGTGGGCAGTTGCTCTAGAAGCATAGGGCAGTTTTGCCAGCAGAAGCCACCCACATCAGATGGGGCTTTCTCTAACCTTCATGGAAGACTGTAGGGCAGACACGAAAGGCTCCTTTTCTTTCCGATTTCCTTGTTACCGCTCTCATTTGTCAAGTATTTTGCCTCTGGTTTATTAATTCTACCTCCTGGTGCCTCAGCTGATTTCTTCCAGGAGAAGTTTCTCATTAGCATTTCTATGGGGAGCATCTGCCACACCATCTATCCCTATTAACTGATGGCTAGGGCAATGGGATGGACTGAGAGGGGAATTTTAATCCCCTCATCATGACTCATCTCTTTTCTAATTGAGAATGCTAGGTCTAAAGTCACAAGTGGCTGCCCAGCAAAATCTATCCTTAACATTAAAAGTGGTAACAGAGGCATGCTTCTCAATTTTATAACATCACCTGTGTAAAATGAGTGTAATAAAAATTAATCAACTTCATGATGGTGAATAATGAAAGATACCTGAGATAGCACTTAATGCAAAAATCCCAAGCTAGTGTGGATATGTTATGAATTAGATGAACTGTTGAATTGGGAAGGTTTCTCAAAATCATAGCGTCGAAGGACATTTGATATTATGTACTGACTGTATATTGCAGGAGAAAAACTAATGAGTATGTATATGTCTCTGCATGCTGACTGTATATTTTACATTATATACCAGTATGTTAAGCTGATGGATTATGTGTCTTTCTCTATTTAAGCCAAGTGCTTGCATTGATGTCATGTGACAGATGTCACTTGGAAAGCCCATGAGATGAACCAGTCACCATGGTGTAAGCCACCATGGTTTATGTAGAGTGGTAGAAGAAAGGGGTTTGTAAGTCAAATTATCTTTGAAATGGAACCCAACCTGGCTTCTAACAAGGCAATGTAAGACTCATCTATGCCAGCCGTGGGGCATACTTAGATTCAGGAGATATTTGGAATCATAGCAAGGAAAAGAATATGAGACAATAGGGAAGGAAAATCAATGTTCCAGATAAGCCTACAATTCCCAGGCATTTTTTTTTCTTTATGTGATATTTGATTAATTGATTATCCTATTTCTTCATGTCTACTTTCACCCAAAGTGCATTTCCCTATTACTGGTTAATTTTTCTTCTGAAACAAAAAACAATGTTAAATTTCACATCAACTTTGTCATGCACTTAAATTGTCCATTAAGGAAATTGATGTCTCTTAGCAACACTCATTCTCTTAATGCTTCCAAACCCTTCTGATTATACAGCAAAATGGAACTGCTGGCCCCAAAGTCACATTCATAATTAAATTTTGCAGAAGACCCAAATGAGAAAAAAAATTCTTTTGAGGTGCTCAGAGATTTTTTTTTTTTGACAGGTTGGTGGAATTCTGATAGCCATTAAAAATAGTCATTCTCGCCAGCTGCAACAGCAGAGCCTTCCCCCATTTGATCCCATCACTTGCAGTATGAGTATAATTCTAACTGTAAAGCCTGATATGCTTACTGTACAGTGAAGGTGGCGTTTTGGGGGAAGAGGCCATATAGAACAAAGGTGCAAGACAATAAATTCGGAGTGGGTTGTATCTGAAGGTTAGGTCATCCCCTGACTGTCTAGTCAATTTTTCATGGACAAAGCAAGTCCTACTGACTTGGAAACATAAACTGAGTAGGATCACCAAAGGAGATTTGAGAATTTGGGATCTCTCTTGATTGGCATTGACTCTCTGGAGGTGAGGAGGGGTATTTTCCTGCATGGTGGGTGTTAAGGTTCCACCTGCCATGGGGTAGTAGAATGAGAGCAGGAAGATGAGGAGGCCAGATCAGAAATCTGTGATGTTGGGCCAATCTTAGCGTTCTCTGGGAATGAAGTAGGGCCTTCCTGGGAAACAAGAAAGCCATGGCAGAATCACAAAACTACATCTTGGCTTTGTTTTTTATGCCCCTTGCTTATTTGCTTCCTTCTTTTCTTTTTGGTCCTCCCTTGGTAGTAGCATAAAGATATTGTGCAAATGCTGCTCCTGATGGCTATGAACCAAGGAAAAGGAACTTGCCCAACCCAAAGCCGTAAAAAAAGTAGTGCACTCCTAGGGGACCACTGTGGTCATGATAACAATAAACCAAGAGAGAAATGCCAAGTGAGAGGTGGAATTTGGGAAGATGGAGTAGGAGCCAAATATTAGCTGCCCCTTCTCATTGGGAAATGCTTTCCAGAGTTAAAACCTGGGAGAGAGATGACTTTTGTCTTAAAAAGAGAGGATATCTATCTCTGCTATGCTTCCCTCAGCATATGAGGGAGTGGTTGTTACGTTCACTGGAGAAAGACATCAGTCTGATATGAGGTTACATACGGGGTCTTGGCAAAAGACACTAACTCTGCAGTCCTCCCAACCACGGTCTCCTGCAGGAAGGAGGCAACTGGCTGTGGCATTGATGAAGGACCCCATAAGCCACATTTTGAACCCCTCTAGCTCAATTATTCATCTTGCACATCTATTTCCCCAGAGACCCTAAAGCCCAGTGTTACACATTCAGAGTCAAATGAGATCTCTTAGTTGCTTGATCTGGGTTGGAACATAAGGGGAGGATGGAGAGCTAAGCATTCAGAAATATATATTGGATGTACAAAGGGTGAGAAAGCAAGTTGGAAGGGCTGAGGCTGCAGCACAGGGAGAATTCTAGAAGGATGGAGAGAGGGAGAGGGAAAGGAAGAGGGAGGGAGGGAGAAAGATAAGGAGGGAGGGAGAGAGAGAGAGAGAAAATGGATATGCGCTTTCTTGAAGCCATTCATTTACAGGGAATTTAAATGTGCTAAAGAGGGGGTTCTTGGTGGTAAAAGAATGAGCAACACAACTGGAGAACATAAAGGGAAAGGAAAAAGGAAATGCATCAACAGGGGAGAAGGCTGGAGGTATCTAGGAAGTGGAAATCAGAATAATGAGGCACCATGCACAAGACTGTAATGGCACTAAGACATTCTCATCACCTACTATGTGCCAGACATAATTCTCCTCGGCCATCTCATTGTAATTCTCACAATGTCTAGTGCAGTGCCTGGCATATAGTAGGTGCTCAAAATATGTTAAATATTAATATTTAATTAATAAATGAACAAGCAATTCTAAGAGAACAATCTATTACCAATTGCATCTTACGCCTAAGAACCTTAGGCCCAGAAAGGTTAAGAAAAGTGCTCAGCTACTAAGAGGAGGAAGGAATCTGACTTCAAAGCCTGGTGGTAGAAGGAGGAAGGTGATCTAGAAGAGCCCTGCGGGGAATCAAGAAAAGGGTGTGGTGCTTGGACGTCTCCCAGGGACTGAGAGAGGGAGGGAAGAATGAAAGGCCAAGTGAACTGGGCTGGGGAGGAGGGGATTGGCCACTGGGAAAGCATTCTTCTAGGAGGACGGGGCCCTGTGGGAAAGCACCATGGCCCTGGGCAACAGCTGAGCCAGCGAGGGGCAGCGTCCAGGCTGATGCCGCGGGAGAAGTGGGTGGGGCGGAATGGCACCGCCTGTGAAGAAACTGCAAAAGGGTCTCTTGTTGAGCAGGCAGGGATCTGAGGTGGAGCGGGGATGGGGGAACGTGGCCAAAATGGTAAAGGGAAAGACCTGGGCAGGCCGGAATGGAAAGTACTAACAGCCTTCACGTAAGAAAGAGCAGAAAGAAGTCAGCCCTGGAAGGGTGTCTGGGATGCTGCTGAGGAGAGGGTGTGGTCTGGAAGGGGAGGGGCTGCCTGTGAGGCCTGCGGTGCGGAGAATGAGCCCAGGGCGCAGCCTCCGCAAAAGGGTAAGGGTCACCTGCCCCGTCGCCTGAGCGGCGGCCCGCGTCTCACCTGTAGGAGCTGCCCGCCGCGCTCGCCACCTCCTCGCGGATTTGCCTGTTGAGGGCGTCCGCCGCTGCACGCCCCTTGCCAGCCTCGGGGCCCGCGGCCTGGACCGGGGCCTGAGCTGCGGGCAGCGACATCTGCTCCGGCACCTGTCCCTCAGCGCGACGCAGCATCCAGGCGGGCCCGGGCTTCCTGCGGGTGTCGCGCTCGTCCGCACCGGAGGGCTTTCCGGCTGCGGGGCCACCCGCTCCGCCAGGGGTCGCCTCCTGCTCCGGGGCCTCCACGGCGGCCTGCGCCGGCCAGCGCTCCTGGCTCTGCGGCCGGCGCTTGGACGCCCCGAGAGTCGGCCCCGAAGTCTGGGAGGACGCGGCGATCTGCATGGGCTTGGGGATCCACGGGTGGTCCCCGCGGCGCGGCAGCGGCCAGGCGCGGAAGTCCTTCTGGTACTGGGTCTCGCGCTCGAAGGGCGCGTCGGAAGGCTGGTACTCGCTGCGCGGCCGGCAGCTCGGCTCGGGCCGCTGTACCTTCCAGGCGCGGTAGTCCTGACGCATCACCGAGTCCGCGGGGCCTGCGCTGGAGGTGGGGCCCGAGCCCGGGCCCGGGCCAGGCCCGCTCCGGCCCGGGGCAGCCGCCGCCTCGCGTTCGCCGCTAGGCCCGGGCGCCGGCTCCGTTGCCCGGGCAACTGCATCCAACTCGCCCTGGGCCGGCTGCGTCTCTATGGCGACCGCCCGCGCCGAGGGGGGCGCGTGCGCCGGCTGCGCCTGCTGCTGCGGCTGCGGCGGCGGCGGCGGCTGCGGCGGGGCGCTCGGGGCCTCGGTGGCCTCCGAGTACTTGGTGAAAACCAGCGGCACGGCGATATCCGCCTTGTCCAGCTGGTTCCAGAAGCGGGCGATGCAGCAGGCCCGCGTGATGCACGGCCACGCCATGATGCTAGCTGCGAAGGGGGCCTTCCCTTTCTTTTTGTGATTCTAAAGCAAGTCTCTAATCTTACTTCAGCCCCTCCGCCCTCGACCAGTCTGGTTCCCACTGTTTTTCCCTTGGTGGCCTGAGCTACCTTGCTCTCCTCCCTCAGAGAGCACCCAGGAAGGTCAAGCTATCACTGAGATAAAGTCCGTAAAGTCCCCCGATTACCGGCTGCAAATGCCTCCGGGAGCCGCCTGCAAAGGTCTTGGGAGCGCAGTCTGCTGCGGGCACCGATGGGTGAGCCACACGGCCTCCCGGAGTCCCCGGGCGAGGGCGTCTGGGTCGCGCCCCTCCCTGCTGCGGCGGCGGCGCGCAGACCCCAGCCAAGCGAGGCGACGCGAGGCGAGGTGGCTGCGGGCTTAAGCCATGGAGTAGAGGAAGGGCCGAGCGGGGTGGCCTCAGGGGCCACGGACGAGGCTCTATTCTTCCTCCCCGAAGCGTCCCGTCGCAGCCAGCCACCTAGCAGGGCTCGGAGGCGATCACCTCCAGCGGAGACTAAGCATTGCTGCAGCCGCTGCTCCCAATGATGCTGCAGCCACTGCCGCTGCCGTCTCTGCTGCAGGGAAGCGGCCCCACCCTTATCTACTGCTCGGCGGGGGGAAAAAATCCAGGCAAGACGCTGGGAGAAAGCGCGCTGCAGAAAAAAATCACCTGCTGTCGTCAGCGCGCGCTGCCGGGAACTCGCCCTCGCTCTTTCCCCCCCCCCCCCCCGGCTCTCTGGCAGCTCCTCCCTCCTCGGCTCCTAGGCAACAGCAGAATCTGGGGCCCAGGTGGGTTCCAGTCCCAGGCTGGTGATGGCTTGCTGTCCTTACGCTGGTCCCTTCCCCTCCGGGAACCTCAGGCTCCTCTTTTGTAAAATAGGGCCAATCATGGAGGAGGGGGGATTCAATTTTTAAAATATGAAGGATATCCCTAGTGAAATTTCTGTCCCAGAACAGACGCTTTTTTAAAAAGAAAGCTGGTGTTATTGGCCAGTTACTGGGCGGGATCTGAACTCAGTTTGGCTGGCTCCTGATCCAAGCCCCCGTTGTCAGTCATGCACAGACCTTGTTCGGATGTGTAGGGATGTGAGTCCCCAGGCTGGTGGGGCCCTGGCTCTTCCTTTATTAGAGGACCTTTGGGGGAAGGGTGTCTTAGAGCCTCCCAAGAACTACCCAGTCTCTATTCAGCCCAGGGCCCATACTGGGGAGAGTGAGGGAAAAGAAAATTCTTGGAAGGGGCCTAAGTGTGGAGGTTGGGGGGGCGGGGTGGAAAGGAAACAAGGGGACAGTGTCCTAGGACAGGGTAGGGCCTGATGCAAAGGGACTTACTGGCATGTTCCTGACCCCCGGCTTTTGCTCTTCCTCTACCTAGGGGGCACAGCGGACTTTGGAGTCAGACAGGCTTGATTTGGCTCTGACACTTACTGTCTGTGTCACTTGGGCAAGTTGGGTCATCCCTGGGCCTCAGTGGCCTCATTTGTAGAATGGAGGAAATAAGAGCTACCTCAAAGTGGTTTTGTGAAGAGAGTTAAGGACTCAGAGCGGAAGCTTCGAGTCAAATCAAGTCCACAGTAATTCAAATTCTGGATTTACATTCCTTCGCTGTATGACCATGGACATATCACTGCACCTTTCTGAGCTTTACTTCTATCTCTGAACGGGGGTACCAATTCTGGACTTGCAGGGTTGTTTTGAGAATTAAAATGAGATAACGCACGAAAAATGCTTACCACAACATCTGGCATATAGCAATGGGTCGATGAATGGTAGCTATTAGTATTCAAAGGACCCATCCAGGAAAGCCTAGATGGAGCTTGCCAAGCAGGGCAGCCACTTGGACACCTTCTCCAGGAAGACCTCTTGTTTTTCCAACGACTTTTTTTGGCCTCTCCTTGATGTCCCTCCACTTACGTTTCCTGCATTGTCTTCTACTCCTTATCCCTGGCAACATTCACTGGCCTTCAGCTCTGTTTCTCTCCAAGATAGGCAGAGTTGTCAGCGTCCAGTAAGCTGGGGTTATTGGTGTTTCTGGGGAAGAAAGTAATTTATGTGTTTAGATTGGGAACTGACTGCAAGACACCGCTGGGTTTTTGTTGTTTTATCACCGTAGAATCAAACAGGATGAGAAGACGACTCTGATTAATCAATTATCTGTTGAACTTCCTCCTACTTGGGTCTGTCTTTTTATGATGTGATTTGAGTTCCATAAATAAAATGATGCCTGGCAGTGTTTTCCAGTTATTAGGAGATACATTTCTACAAACAAGATAATCTGGTCTGACCCTCAATTCTGTAGAACTCCGTGGGATTTGGCTGATGTCTTTCCAATAATGATTTTCAAGGCAACTAGAAATTGGAGGACGGAACTGAGTGTTCATTGAGACCTTACCCTTCTTCCATTTAGCAAGTCTCGTCTCCTGATGCCCACTCTGTGCCCTGGGCACTGAGGAACACAAACGAATTCTAGCTCTGTGGGAACCCTCAATTAGAGGGGTGTGTTATGGAGAACCAGAAGACAGACAAATAAATAATTAGCAAACAGTATGGTCTCTGGTCAGCATAACAGAGGTTCATTCTCAAGGTGCTGAATGAATGACTAAGGAGACTTCCTATTTAAAATTCATATTTAAAATATGAAGAATATCCCTAGTGAAATGTCTGTCCCAGAATAGATGCTCTTTAAAAAGAAAGCTTGTGTTATTGGCCAGTTACTGGGCGGAATTTGAACTCAGTTTGGCTGGCTCCTGATCCAAGGCCCCCTTTAATAAGTCTCGTCTCCTGATGCCCGCTCTGCCACTTCCTAACAGAGGTGTAAGTAAGAGAGTTCCAGGCCACCTTATCATCAATATCACCTTCTATATTCATTCTTTTGGATTTTTTAAATACATTCACTGGTACAACCTTATCGAACCATCCAATGGCCCAATAGGATAGATAAATCTAATGGTTATCTGTTAATATGGCTTGCTCAGCATCCATTCTGATGATGACAGCACCTCATTATTTGGTTTTTGGGGACCACTCTTTTCTTACTTTCAGTTCATATGGTTTGGATGGGATTAACCCTACTTAACCCACCTTCCAGAGCTGACTATGTGACCCACACCTGTTTACCAGGGCATTGCATCCCCCTGGCCAAAGTGACTAGTTTAGGGGTGCCTGGGTGGCTCAGTCATTAAGCATCTGCCTTTGGCTCAGGTCATGATCCCAGGGTCCTGGGATCGAGCCCCGCATTGGGCTCCCTGCTCCACGGGAGGCCTGCTTCTCCCTCTCCCACTCCCCCTGCTTGTGTTCCCTCTCTCGCTGTGTCTCTCTCTGTCAAATAAATAAATAAAATATTAAAAAAAAGTGACTAGTTTAGTGATGGACATGTGATCCACATTGGAGCCATTAGAGGAAATCCTAGACTTTAGCTGGAACTATCTGTAAAGAGCCACTCTCTTTTTTACTGGAATTGCTAAAATGAGAGACCATGAGGATAGTGCTGTTAGTGATCATCTTTGCCATCCCTGGGAGTTGGGGGTGGGGGGAGCTGCTTGCCCAAGGTTGAAGCAAACACAGAGAAAATCAGAAAAGGACACAGAATTCTGGTAATGTCTATGAAGACTGCAACTTGTTTCCCAAAGCCCATTCTCACCTTCTTCCCTTTAATAACAGAAGCCTCAAGGTTTTAGTTGGACTCTCGATCACCCAGCAAGAGACTTTACAGCAAAGAGCAATCATACGAACTTCCAGGTCACTTTCTTAAAGAAAGATGAAGTCTTCAACTTCATCTTTCTCCCTGCCCAAACGGTAGTATATGGACGTGGTAGAGGTGAATTATCATCTGGGTAGTTAAGATGACTATGACTTGGTGGTTAAGAACATTCCAGTGCCAGGATTTAACCCTAGGTAGGGAAGGGTAGCAGAACAAGATGGAAAAAACCTATCTTGGGTGACCTCATAGGATGGAGCTACCTAACCACCTCAAACCACTTGATTTCTCCTTGAATACTTTGTGAGAAAGGAAGAACACTTCTCTCTTGTTTGAACCACTGCTTTGAAGGTCTCTGTTTTAGTATACTAGTCATTTGAGCATTTGGATCTGGCCATGCTTAAACTAACTTGAGGGATATGAAAACAGCATGGGACTAAAATACTGGAAAATAATATCATGTCTGATGGGAGGGAGTGATCAGATTTCAAGTATCCTAAAGTCCTTATTGTTTGTAAGGAGAGTAGAGGTACTGATTAACTTATTAACAAAAGTGTTTATCGACTTCAAAATGCACATTAAAAGAAAGAAAAGGGGATATGGAAAACCTCATTAAGGCCAGAAAAAGAGTAAAAATAAGCAAAGGAAAAAACATGGCAAATAGCAAATACAACATAAAGTGATATAAATATTTCCAAATATATTAGTGATTGTAGTAAATGTAAATAATCAAAACTTTCCAGTTAGAAGATAGAGAATGTCAGATTAGAGAAAAACAGAAAACAAAGCAAAATGCAACCATACACTGTTTTCATTAAAACATACTGACACATACGGGGCACCTGGGTGGCTCAGTCAGTTAATCTTCCGATGCTTGGTATCGACTCAGGTCACGATCTCAGGGTGGTGCACTCAGCAGGGAGTCTGTTTGAGATTCTCGCCCTCTTCCTTTGCCCCTCCCCCCACTTGGGTGTGCTCTTTCTCTCAAATAAATAAATCTTAAAAAAAATACATACTGACATAAACATAGGGGAAAACATGATGGGAAAATATATAGTAGAAAAATACTATAACCAATGTACAATTACATTACTATCAGGCAAAACTGGTCTTGAAACAAAAAGCATTACTGAGGATAAAAATGTTCATCACAGGGGTGCCTGGCTGGCTCAGTTGGTGGAGCGTGTGACTCTTGATCTCAGGGTCATGAGTTCAAGCCCCATGTTGAGTGTGACGATTACTTAAAAATAAAATCTTAAAAAAAAAGATAATCACATAAAAATAGAAG